GCTTCCGTCAGCTGCCATGTTTCAAAGCTCATGGTGGGCGCGGCTGCAGCAGGTTGCCAGCATCTACAAGGTGGCAACGCTTCCCCTGGCTCTTGTGGGCACTGGTGTCACGGGCGCACGTTTTTACAACTCCTGGAACCCAGAGGGGTATGCCCGATGGTACCTGTGGAGCATTTCCGCTGGGCGCTTTAAGGAACCGACGTATGCCAAGCCCTGGGTGGCCAACAAGAGCATGACACAGATCGTCCGGCAGGCTTTGAAAGAGCTCAAGAACTTCGAGCTGATGACGCTGATCAGCGGACTGCAGACCTCTGGAAAGACCAGTGCGGTTCTGAAGGAATGCCACGATCAAGGCAAGGTGGGCTTCTTCATCGGCCTCGGCGACTACACGGGCGAGGAGAACGACAAGGAGAAGATCGAGGAGTTCGTGGTGGGCAGCCTGATCTCAAACCAGACAGCCACCTTCCACGGCTGGTTTCAGCACATGAAGTGGTTGTTTTTCCCACAGCCGCAGCCCCATGCGGTGCGGAAGGGCCTGCGTGGAGCCTTCGAGGCACACCCGCAGCAACTGGTTCTGGTGGTGGATGAGACGCAGATTCTCGCGAACAAGGTGATGCAGCACAGCGGCATCCTGAACCACTTTTGTGCCCTTTCTCTGTGGGGCAATGTGGTCCTGGTCGCCAGCGAGTACGGTGTGGCCCAGTACTTCAAGCTGATGACGCACGTGGCAAAGCGCACGGACATGAGGTACTCTCCAGCGCCTACCTCCGAGGAGATGCAGCCACACGTCAAGGAGCGCTTCGAAGCGGACTTTGGCGAGGAGGGCGTGGCCCAAATTGTCCGCTCCTTGGGCGGCTCCTTCGAGCTCTTGCGCCGCTTGGATGAAAATCGAGCCCTGGGCATCGAGGGCGTGAAGAAGTGGCGCAAGGAGCAGCTCGAGTACAGTCTGGAGCTGACAAAAGGAGGGATGGAGAAGGAGGAGAAGGCCACCAAGACCGGCAAGGCCATGTTGGCCGCTGCAGAGATGGCCTTTGGGCTGCCAGTGAAAGCCTTCGACAAGGCCACGCTGGAGCTTGCTCAAGTGGGCGGCGCCAAGATCGAGACCACGGATGATGGGCTCCAGGCCTCATGGGCCTCGCCGCTCACCGGGGAGGTGATGAAGGAATTGGTTTGCGATGAGGGCGTGGCCACCATCATGAAGAAGCGCGTGCCCGCAGAGACTTACAAGGAGTTTGAGCAGGTGATCAAAGGCAGATGCCCCACAGTGAAGCAGTAGTTTGGGCAGTCGGCCTGTTCAGGAGAGAGTTTTCTACATCGTGCGAGTGAAAAGTTGGGCAAGCCCATCGTGCTTTTTGCCCCCACGTGGGCTTTCTTGCAGATTTGTTGTTGCTGCCAAGGACAGGATGCCTCATCCAGCCAGCGCTGGAAACAGGCTGGATAGAAAAGGACAAGCTTGGCAGCTTCACATTTTGATGCAGACCTGGGGGAGAGGCCATGAACCCATGCTACCCACCTCAACAAAGCGCAACTACATTGGCCCTGGCAGCATTTTTACAAGGTAGCACGGGTAGCACAGGTAGCATGGGTAGCATGGGTAGCACAGGTAGCATGGGTAGCATGGGTAGCATGGGGATAGCGGGGGCAGCGCGGGTAGCCGGGTAGCGCGGGGGGGGGGAACACGGGTAGCACGGGTAGCGGGGGCTAGGGGGGGGGGAGCGCTGGAAATCTTGATGATTGGCGGGGCATCCCAAGAGGCAAATTTGGCAGATGTTGTGGCGACCCAATCCCTAAAGTCTTGACATGGTTTGACTCGAGCGTGCCATTGTGCAGTCACGTGGCGTCCACGCTCTCACGAGACACCCATGTTGGATTCATGAGAGGCTCATGCAGGAATCATGCAACTGTGTTCTGCCTGAGGGCCCCCCAAGCTCGCCCAAGGCGCAAGTCCTGCCTTTTTTCTGTGGAGCCGGGCTTGGGTGTTCATCTGCAACCGCGTTTTTAAGCCGCACAAAGCGGGATACTCTTGTAGCCGTTCAAAGCCCTCAGTCAATGGTCCTGGGCGGGAGCTGTCCCAGGAAGTCGTCCAGCTGCCTCAGCGCAGCGGCCTGCCGCGCTTCGTTAGCCGGCGTGTTGCCGCATGGACGCTGCCTTGAAAGCTGGCAAAGCTTCATGGACGTCTCCCTGTCGAACTGGCCGGTCCGCCCCAGCGCAGCGTGGCCACGCACCGTCGCGGCTCTGAGCGTCGACGGCTACTCGCTGACCCTGGTTGTGAACCCCTGGAACATCGTCACCTGCAGCCTGACTCCCGGCCGGGAGCTCAGCAGGCCTACTTTGCCCAGCCGCACGAGACGGTGTACGGAGCGCTGAGGAGAAGCAGCCGGCCACCGAGTACCGGCTGTAACGCCGACAAGTTCCGGTACAACAAGAAGCTTGCGGACCGGCGCGTGGAGGACGCGGGCGCCTTCTCTCCCCCTCTCTCACGCCCAGCTTGCCCGTCAGGAGGCCGTCCACCTGCGCGATGGTGTAGTAGCCGAGCAGGGCTGGAGGCCATTGCCGTGTCCTGGTCGGCAGCCAAGCAATGCACCAGCGCCGAGGCGGTGGTGAAAACGTCCTGGTCCGGTCGCAGCGCACCCGCGATGGCGCCTGTCCTGGGCGCTCGCCGTTCGGTAGTCGCGTGTCGTCGCCCAGCAGCACGTCCACTTGCGCCGAGATGTAGTAGGCCAGCAGCGCAGCTGCGAGGGCCGCGTCCGCCACTGCGATGGAGTAGCAGTCGGCCGTGATGCAGCGTGTCGTCGCCGTTGGCCAGCGCAGCAGAGAGAGGAGCCTCCAGATGCAGGTTGCGAACGACGTTGCTTCCGCGAACGAGCTCCCAAGTCGTGAAGCCCGCCCAGGCCGGCGCGTTAACAATTCCGCCTCCGGGAAGCTGCAGGGCGGCGAGCTCCGCGAGGATTGCGTCGAGGGCGCTCTGGAGCGTGGTCTCGCTGGCCGAGAGCGCGGCGTTCGTGGCGTGTGAGGCCAGCAGCGTCGCGTCGGCCTTGGCCCCCTGGAGCGCCGTGATGCTGGCGTCCCGGCTAGCAAGCTGCGCTGCGACGAAGGCCTCGGTGGCGAGACCCAGCAGGGCATTTGCTATCTTGGTGTCCACCTCCAGTGGCGTGTCCAGCCCGTCCACCGTGGAGAGCAGGACGGCCAGCGCGCTGGCGTCCGCCTTGCCGAGGAGGGCGGCGTCCAGGGCTGCCGTGGTGACGGTGTCCTGGAGGGCCGCTGCTATCTTAGAGTCCACCACCGAGGAAGTGTCGACGGTAGACTGCAGGGCGTAAGCAGTCAGGGCGCTGGCGTCCGCCTTGGAGGCTGCAGCCGAGATGGTGGCGTCTCTGCTCGCGAGCTCGGAGGCCAGCGCCGCGGCGGTGACGGCCCCCAGGAGAGCGTTGGCCACCTTGGTGTCCACCTCCAGCGGCGTGATCCTCGCCGCTATGTCCAGGGAGTGTTGGTCCACCACCGTCTTGAGGGCGTAGTTGGCGGCCACCGTGGCCAGCGTGGCGTTGTTGGCCGAGGCGATGGAGCCGTTCATGGCCGCCGTGGTGCTGTAGTTGGACAGCTTCAGGTCCACGCCGTCCGGGGTGCTCTTGGTGGCCACCACGCCCTCCAGCACGTCGAAGGCCGACTGGTCTGCCTTGTTGGAGAGACCCGTGGTCAGCGAGCTCTGCAGCGCGGCGATGCTGCTTCCGTGCGCGGCCACCTGTCCGTCCGTGGTGGCCAGGGGCCGCCGTGGCCAGGGGCGCAATTGCCGGCGCCAGCGCGCTGCTGTCCAGCTTTGATGGCCTATGAACAATCACACCCTCTGTCGGTCAGGGAGAACTCACTGGATGGCAGCGGTTGTTGCCGGAGGCTGCCGTTGTGTTCACCGCCAGGCCCGTTACTCCAAAGGACTTGGACCTGGTCCGTTGCCGAGGGCCAGCTGCCTGCGGTGACGTGCGTGCGTCAGTCCACATCATCGTGTTCCAGGACTCCGGGATATTGCCGGTAACAGGTCCTTCAAACATGTTTGCATATGTTCTCGCCGACGCCTTAGTCCAGTGGCTAAGGCGTCGGCCCAGGAGCTAAGCGCTTCTTACTCCGCACGGGCCTCGATTCCTGCCGCGAGCGCAGTTGTACCATTCAGTCCGAACTCCGGCCATTAGAAGGTTCCGCAAAGCGAGGCCGGCTCCGCGGCTTCGGTCTGAGCGAGGCCGGCTCCGCGGCTTCGGTCTTGGAGCGAGGCCGGTTCGTGCGGCTTCTTCGGTCTTGGGAGCCCGCACCAGGCCCGCACCAGGCCCGCACCAGGCTAACGGCTTCACGCTTGTTTGTTGGTGCGTCAAACGCCCCAACCCCCTTCGGCCGCAAGTTTCCGCAAGTACGTGGTTTCACAGTCGTGGGGTGACCTTGTCAGCGAGGCCGGTCCGCACCAGGCCGCACCGGCCCGCACCAGGCCCGCACCAGGCCCGCACCAGGCCCGCACCAGGCCCTCACCAGGGTTTTTTTCGGATGTGACTCAATTTGATTTGACTGATGGCGCCGGTCAATCGCGGGACCTGCGCACGTGGAAGTCTCCCACATAATCGGCACTGCTTCGTAGTTCGATATGCGAAGAACATCAGCTTGGTATGTTGCCTCCATGTCGGCGGGCTGGCGCGGCTCTTGCGGGAGGTTCGCCGAAACTTTAGGACAGTTGTCACAGGGACCACTGGAATTTTTTTGTCACAGTTGAGTTTGTCGGCTTAGACGACCTCGACATTTTTTTTCTGGGAAGAATCCTGACCTTGGCGCGGGCTTGGCAGGCTGGAGGCTCCGATGCCGGGCAGGCGCGGCAGGACTGTGGCGCGCTAGGTATCGAAGCCTCCGATGCCGGGCAGGAATGTGCTCGAAAGCGCAAGTGGCACTTGTGCTTTTGAAGTGCCTCGGACTGGAAACAGGCACCAACCATTTTTGGTGGGCTGCCGGTGGAGTTCGGAATGGAGACAGGCATGTCCTTTTTTTTCGAGTTGCCCCGGTGGAGTTCCGCGTGGAGTTCGGAACTGGCAACAGGCATGTCCCATTTTTTCGGAGTTGCCCGCGTGGAGTTCCGCGTGGAGTTCCCCACAATCCTGGGGTGACAACAGGATTGAAGGAGGCAATCCTGGGGTGACAACAGGATTGAAGGAGGCAATCCTGGTGTGACAACAGGGGCCTCGCAGCCATTGGCAAAAAAAGCGTGCTGCAGTCCTCCCCCCACGGGAGGACTGGAATTTTTTTTTCTCTGGGAAGAATCCCGACCTTGGCGCAGGCTCGGCAGGCTGGAGGCTTCTATGCCGGGCAGGTGGCGCGGCCGGGGAGGCTTCAATGCCGGGCAGGTGGCGCGGCAGGGAGGCTTTTATGAGAGGCGGCAGGCACCAAGCCGCCGAACCCTCACAGTCCCCCGGGTCCTTGCTATACGTGCATTCTATCCTTTTGGGTCTCACAAGGCAAGCCACTGAACCTCCACTCTCCCCCGGGCCCTTGCTATATGTGCTATATGTGCTATATGGCTCTCACAAGGCAAGCCACTGAACATCCACTCTCCCCCGGGTCCTTGCTATATGTACTATATGTGCTATATGGCCTATATAGCATATATAGTACAGATTTCGCGCGGACAGAACATATAGCACATATAGTACATATAGCAAGGAGCTGGGGGAGAGTGGGGTTCCGCGGCTTGGCGCTTGCGTTGTAAGATATAGCACATATAGCAATATAGCAAGGGCCGGGGAAGAGTGGATGTTCAGCGGGTTGGGTTGGTAGATATAGCACATATAGCACATATAGCAGGAACCCGAGCTGTGGGGGTTTTCAGCGGAGGTTGGCGATTTGTAAGATTATAGCACATATAGCCCTATGCAAGGACCGGGGAGGAGAGTGGATGTTCAGGCGGGTTGGGGGCCATAGGAATGTGAACACAAGTGACACTTGTGTTGAAGCTCTCTCTTTAGAGGGCGTTTTCCAAATGGATTCTATTCTACCTGAGAGGCTCCCAGCAATCGTCCGTCCAGCATTTGACCTCGTCCTGCGAAGGATTCGAAGTCTAAAACGCTGCGTGCAGGCGTGTGGCGCAAAATTAGAGACCCTAGTGTTGCGCTGCATTGGCTCCCAGGTTTTGCATTTCAAGCGATGTTCAACTTTGCGCCAAGGAAACCCCTTTTTTCCTTTTTATCGGGGTAACCCTTTTTTGGGACCCCTTGTTTTCTTTTTTTTTGATTTTTCTTAGCCCTGCAAAGGTTGGCTCGCTTGAAACGCAACCTGGAGCCAAATTGCAAGCATATCTAGGGGTCTCTATTTTGCAGCCTCACGCCTGCACGCAGCGTTTTAGACTTCGAATCCTTCGCAGGACGAGTTCAAATGCTGGACGGACGAGTGTCAGGAGCCTCTCAGGTAGAATATAAACCTTGGGCAATCGCCACGCTAAGAGAGAGAGAGATCTGTATGATTGCCTGGTCTTTTGGGGAGAGAGAGTTTCGCAAACTGGACGAGCAAGATCCTGCAGGACATACCCTTGGCTTCGGATGAGGGGGAGCGCGGCGAGGTGGCTGCTTGGCTCTACGGCTTCGAGACGGCGGCGCGCCTCTACCACGTGGCGTTTTTGAGCTGCTGCCACAGAAGGCCAAGGACTGGCACATGGAGCAGGGCCGCTCCACTGCCTCGGGGGCCTTTGCCCTGTACGCCCACCACGAGAGGTTGCAGATGGAGAAGATGGCGGCGGCAGCGGGCAGGGCCTGCAACGACCACCAGCACGACGGCATCGGGGCCCTCCGCTCCGCGAGCGAGGCCGTGAAGCGAGCCGTGGATGTCGAGGTGGTCATGCACGAGCTGGAGGACCCGTGGGCATACGCGGCGGCGAAGTACCCCAACTTGGATTGGAGACTCAAGTCGATGATGGAGTTCTCCGGGTACCACCAACTGCTCCAGCGCTGCAGGCAGCACGTCATACTTGGACGGGCGAGGGCAAACACCGTGGACTTTGCGAAGCTGGCGGCGGCGCAGCTGGTCCCGGTCGTACACGTTCCGGGGGAGGGGGGTGAGAAGAGGACCACCTACGAAAGCTTCGAGAAGGGAGGCTTCTGGCTGGTGCGAAACCGGGACGACTTGGGCCAGACCGTGGAAGACCTGATGAACAAGATGTGTTGCCCGGTCTTCGAGACAGTCGATGAGAACTACGTGCCGCCGCCGCCCCTCAACGATAATGCCTTCTTCACCGGTCTGTCCTCGTCCGTTCTGGGGCGTCTGGCAGGCCCGCAGATGGCGGACCTCGACGGCGACGAGGCACAAAATCCTCTTTTGCGACGGCATGCTCTACGATTTCAAGGAGCGTGTCCTCCGATCACCGATCCCCGCCGACCGCATGGGCTTCCACGCAAAGGCGACCTCAGAGATGTGGCAAGGCGACCAAGCTCTTCGAGCACATCCTGGCTTTCTTGAAGGAGCATCTGGAGACGGGGGTGTGTCTGCTCGAGGCCAGCAAGAATGGCAAACAGGTCATCGAGTGCTTCGAGGAATTGGAGCAGGACGGGTGCGAGATCCTCCGCCACATGAAGGTGTACGGGGACTGGGACTCCGTCCTTTACGAGCTGCGTCTCATGACCAGGGCCATCTCCGCGACGCCGCGGTTCTGCGAGATGTACTGCATCTGGGGAAGCCAGGATTCCGGGAAGGACACCAAGGTGAAGATGTTGCACGCCTTCTTCGGTCACGGCCAGGACAACTACGGGGTGCAGCTTCCGGGAAACTATGTGGTGCAACAGACTCGCTACCTGACCGCGAAGGACGGACCCGCGCCTTACCATGCAAGGACTCTAGGCAAGCGGCTGGCCTGGGCCAGTGAAGTCCCCGAGCACTACTCGTTGGCGGATGACTTCATCAAGCCCTTTTGTGACATGGAAGGCCAGTCTGCAGCAGGAAGCTCAACAAGGGTTTTCGGGACTTCATGCCTACGGCTTTGCTGGTGGCAACAAGCAATCACCCTCCCCGTGTGACTCGACCGGATGGGATGCTGCGGCGGCTTCGAGTCTGCCAGACAACGGTCAGCTTCACCTTGAAGCCGTCCATGGCCACCGAGGAGCGAGCCGTGGATGGCCTCAAGACCCGGATAAACCAAGGAGAGTTCAACAAGTACATCTTCTTCCTTGCGGCAAATCTCGTGGACTCGTTGGAGATGGAGTACAACCCAGGCACCGAGATCAAGCCGCAGCCACCGGAGATGAAGATGAGCGCCATGGACCTGGTCCCATGTGCAGACAAGGACAAGGAGGCCAAACCCGAGGCCTTCATGACAGAGATGTGTGAGCTGGTGCCCTTGAAGGAAGCATCGACCTGCCCGAGCAAGACGTCGAGACCGCAGAAGCCTCAGGCATTGAGGCATCTAACAAGGGTTGGACATCTGAGGTGCGCTCAAGACAGCAAGGGTTGGACAGCGTTTTCCTTGCGCAAGCACGCCATCTGTTCACGTGACTTGCCGGGTCTCTGCAAATTGGCTCACTGTACGTCACCCAAAAGCCTAAGAGCTACTTGTCGATGCCGATCGGAGCTTCACAACCCACCATGCGCTCATTTTGCTTGAGGGTGGAGATGTACCGCGGGCCATAGGATTGTCCTTTGATCCCCAACTTCGAGATCACGCTCTTTGCCGCGCCCAAGGTGTCCAGGGTGAGGTAGGTCTTCAGCGCCATCGTCAGCTCCGTGTGGAGGCTTAGGTCGAGGACACGGACATGGGGATTTAGATTTTTATAATGACGTCGTCCGAGAGACTTGGGGTGCTCTCAGGAAAATCATGCTAGGGTTCCCCCAAAAACAGACTCAAAGTACTTTATGCAAAGTTTCACCCTGCTGAAGCTGGCGCTGCCGGCGCCCCAGGGCAGCGGCAACGCGGCGGGCCGACTGACGAGGCGGGGCAGGCCGGCAGCTGTCAGGCAGCTGGACGACTTCCTGGCGCCTCCAAGGCCCAGGACCCTCGACTGATACGGCTACTTTGGACCGACGGTCATGGAGTCCACGGCCCGCAGCTGCTGCACGTCGCCGTACTGAGGGTTGAAGCTCCTCGCCGCGTTCGTCGGTGCTCGGAAAGCGCCCGCGTCCTCCACTGCCTTGATGCGGCGGTTTGTCAGGTCCTTGTTGTGCTGGAACTTGTCGGCGTTGTCTTGCGTTTTTTTTTTTCCTTTTTGTGGAGGACCCGGAACTCCGTTAGGCCGAAAGCGGGTCTGCTGGAAAGTTGGTCGCACGCCATGGCGCCACTTTGCGGGCCCGCGCGCCTGTGTAGGTGCCAGGGTTTTCTTCAGCGTCTGGATGCCCCGGTCCACCACGGCAATGGCGTTGCGGTCCTCGGGTCGCTTCGTCCGGTGTTAGTACTAGAGCTATCCGCTGGGCAGCTCCGGTCAGCTGTAGAACTCGTTTGCCCAGGTCTGTCGTGACCACCAGGCCGGTCGTTCGGCCCTCGGCGGCCGACTTGCCCAGCGCGCGCGGCCGGGGCGCCTGCACCTGCCGGCCCACGTCGGCCTTCAGCGCCTCGAAGGCCATGGCCTGCGTCACGTCAAGGTCGCGCTGCCTCGCAAGTTGGTACAGCTTCCGCGGGTCCCGCACGTTGAAGTCGTCGGCCAGGTCCCTCAGCGCCTCCAGGTTTACTTGTTCTTCGGCCCCCGCTGGGCCTGCCAGGCTTCCAACTCGTCCAGCCGGGCCTGGAAGCCCTTGCACACCCCCCAGAGCACGCTGGTGAGGTGCGAGTAGTCGAGAGTAACCATCTCCGTGCCGTCGCTCCACCGCGTGGTCCCCGTCAAATTCTTCCACTTCGTTCCTGCGAAGTCGTCCGAGGCGAAGCCCAGCCTCAGGTCCCCGTTCATGTCCGGGCGCTTGTACTGCTTGGCCTCCACGGAGTCAAACAGCTGCAGCAGCTCTGCCACTCGTGTTGCAGACCACGTTGCCCGTGTTGCCCGCGATCACGAGGCAGCCGGGGTTTTTTTGGTTCGTGGTCAGGGACAGCTGCGTCGAGAGGCTCTTCGTCTGCACCAGCGCCTCGTCGTTGATCATGATGAGCTCGCACTGGTGCGCCCCGCCGTCTCGCTCCAGGAAGACCCGCGCGCTCTGGTTGCCCAGCAACCGCAGCTCCGGGCCGCTGTCGGAGGCCGCGCTGGTGTTGGAGATCTGCAGCTTGCTCCAGCCCGCCCAGTTCTTCGTCAAGAAGAGATCGTCCGAGAAGTCGGAGGTGGTGGTCACGATGAGCGTGTTGGACGCGAAGAGCTGCGGCGCGGAGACCGTGCCCGAGCTCGTCACGTCGCCGCAGACCACGCTGCCCGTCGACACTCCGCCGCTCGTGGCTGTGAAGGTGCAGTCCAGGCTCTCGCAGTCCAGCGGGCCCGCGGAGGCCGCCCCGGTGATCGTCAGCGTGGCGCCCGTGACCGCCCCGGTGGCTGCGAAGCTCGCTGCGGTTTCTGCGCCTGAGGCCGTCAGCGTGCCCGTGGACACGTCGCCCACCGTGGTGAAGTTCCCAGCGTTGGCCGTGTTGTTGATGGAGAGAGTGCTGCCGGTGATTCCGGTGGCCGAGCTCAGCAGGCCCACGCTGGCCGCCCCGCTGATGCTCAGCGAGCTGCCCGACACGGCGCCGGTGGACGTCAGCGTGGCTCCGGCGACGGTGCCGGTGGCTGTGAGCGCTGCGCAGGAGACTGCGCCCGAGGCGGCCACGCCCGTTGTGAACACGTCCGTGCAGTTCACGTCGTTGCACAGCAGCTGGTCGCAGCCCACGTTGCCCTGCGCAGTGAGTCCGTCCAGAGTGGCCGAGCCCGTGAGGGCCAGCGAGTCGGCCAGCAGGCCCGTCACGGAGACCGAGTCTCCCTCGAAGGCGCTGGCCCTGATCTGCATGCTGTACAGGTCCAGCGTGCCCGCCGACTGCTGCACCAGGCCGGGGATAGACCCGCCGAAGGCTCCGAAGTGCAGCTTCGCGATTCCGCCCGGCGGCACCGAGAAGTGCAGGCGCGCCGTGCTCCAGACTCCTGCGAGGGCGTGCCGAGGAAGGTGCCGGTGACGCCCACGTAGTCGTTGTCGGCCGCGCTGACGTACATTACCAGGTTGGAGGCCGTGCCCAGCCGGTACCGGCAGCCGAAAGAGTAGCGTCTCCCCGGCGCCAGGGTGTAGGTGCGCACAATGTTCCAGGCGAAGGCGCTCAGGGTCATGGCGTAGCCCTCCAGTGGAAGCCTCCCACAGTGAAGCTGGCCGAGGCCACGGAGCTCTGACTGTTGGAGCGCACCAAAAAATTCCCTAATGTGGTGAGCGTGGGTTCCAGCAGCACCTCGCCCAGGGTGGCCAGCGTGACGTCGTCGGCCCCTCCGTCGAGGAACTCGTGCTTCAGCAGCAGGGCCGAGGCCGCCGTGTCCTCCTCCTCCACCGTGTCGCCGGTCTCCAGGGGTGCGTCCAGGATCTGGAGGCCGTAGACGTCCACCGTTCCTGCCGTCTGGTTGGGCAGGCCCGGCGCCTGGAAGTGCGCCCCGAAGTGCAGCTTCGCAACTCCGTTCGGAGGCACTGTGAAGTACATCTTGGCCGTGCTCCAGGCGCCCTGGTCGCCCACGAAGCTGCCGTACAATGGGTCGTAGACGTTGTCTGCCTCCGACATGTACACCACGAAGTTGGAGGCCGTGCCGAGCCGGTAGCGGCAGGCGAAGAGGAGCTCTCGGCCCGGCGTCAAGTTGTAGGTGCGCACAATGTTCCACGGGTTCGCTGCCAGGGTCAGGGTGTAGCCGTCCACGCTCGCTGCGCCCGCGGTGTGCGTGGCCAGGACCACGCTGCAGCCGCTGCTGGGGCGAACCGACCAGTTTGACAGTGAGACGTCCGTGGGGGCCAGGATCTGCTCTCCTATGGCGGCCACCACCTCGTCGGCCCCTCCGTCGTCCGGAAAGCGCACTGCTATTGGCAGCGCCGAGGCCGCCTCCGTGACTCCGAGTTTGTTGGCCAACAAACCGTCCACCTGCGTGATGGTGTAGTAGCTGAGCAGGGCGGCGGCGATGCTTGAGGCCGTTGCCGTGTCCTGGTCGGCGGCTGAGCGGTACGCCACCAGCGCCGAGGTGATTTGGTTGGTTGTGAACACGTCCTGGTCCGGGCCCGTCCGGTAGGCCAGCAGCGCGCCCGGGATGGCGGCCTGCGTCTGCGTGTCCTGCGCGCTCGCCGTGCGGTAGTCTCCCAACAGCGCGTCTACCTGCGCCGCGGTGTAGTAGGCCAGCAGCGCGGCCGTGATGGCGCCGGCCGTCTCCGCGTCCTGCGCCGTTCCGGTGCGGTAGTCTCCCAACAGCGCGTCTACTTGTGAGGAGGTGTAGTAGGCCAGCAAGGCTGCTGTTATGGCAGCGTCAGTGCCCGCCGTGGAGTAGCAGTCTGCCGTGATGCTCAGCTTGTCCTCGCCGTTGGCCAGCGCAGCAGAGAGAGGAGCCTCCAGATGCAGGTTGCGAACGACGTTGCTTCCGCGAACGAGCTCCCAAGTTGTGAAGCCCGCCCAGGCCGGTGCGTTAACAACTCCGCCGCTGCCGGAAAGCTGCAGGGAGGCGAGCTCCGCGAGGATTGCGTCGAGGGCGCTCTGGAGCGTGGTCTCGCTGGCTGAGAGCGCGGCGTTCGTGGCGTACGAGGCCAGCAGCGTCGCGTCGGCCTTGGCCCCCTGGAGCGCCGTGATGCTGGCGTCACGGCTAGCAAGCTGCGCTGCGACAAAGGCCTCGGTGGCGAGACCCAGCAGGGCATTTGCTATCTTGGTGTCCACCTCCAGTGGCGTGTCCAGCCCGTCCACCGTGGAGAGCAGGGAGGCCAGCGCGCTTGCGTCCGCCTTGCCGAGGAGGGCGGCGTCCAGGGCTGCCACGGCCGACTGCAGGGCGTAAGCAGTCAGGGCGCTGGCGTCTGCCTTGGAGGCCTGCAGCCCCGAGATGGAGGCGTCTCGGCTCGCGAGCTCGGAGGCCAGCACCGCGGCAGTGACGGCGCCCCTCCCCCCGCAGTTTTTTTCCTGTCAGGCTGCCGTGTGTGAGGTCGGACATCCTGGCGCAGCACAGCAGGCACAGTGCCGAACGGGCACTTGTACGTGCTTGGCAGGCACAGTGCCGAGCAGGCACCGTAGGAGTGCCGCGCGGGCGCAGTGCCGAGCTGGCACTTTTAGGGTAGGGCGTGCCGAGCGGGCACCTAGGGATAGTACGGGTTCGCCCAACCTCGTTTGATACTGGTTCGACCCTTAGTACTGGTTCGCCCAACGACCCTTAGTACTGGTTCGCCCAACGTCTCAGTTTTCGACATGCGTGCATGGGGGGCGCGTCAACCCGCAGAAGCCTCACAGTTTCCCGGCTCCTTGCTAAACGTCCTATATGTGCTATATGGCTCTCACACGACAACCCACTGAACCTTCACACTCCCCCGGCTCCTTGCTATATGTCCTATATGTGCTATATGGCTCTTACAGGCAACCCACCGAACCTCCACAGTCTCCCGGCTCCTTGCTATATGTGCTATATGTGCTATATGGGTCTCGCGCGCCAAGCCGCAGAGCTGTGTACTATATACATAGCATCTCAACATGTACCAAATATCATTGTGTAGCACATATAGTCGCGTTTCGATACCACATAGTACATATAGGACATATGGCAAGGAGCCGGGGACTGTGGAGGTTCCGCGGTTGCCTAGTGAGACCCATATAGCACATATAG